CCTACGTGACGCCCTGCTGCCCACCCGCGCAGCCCTATTGCCCCCCTGTGCAGTCCTACTGCCCCCCTGTGCAGCGCTACTGCCCCCCAGCTCCCTTCTACCCCCAGTACTCCACGATCCTCCGCAAGCTCCCACCGCCGTGCCCCAAGTACTAGAAGCAGGATCTGACCCCGGCACCCGGACTCACCGGCTCGTTCCTCCCTTGGATGCTCTCGATGCCTAAAGTTTGAATTGCTGGTTCTCTTTTCCCCTTGAGTCCCTAAAGACCTCATCTATGATTAGAATTTGCTTCAAAATACAAATCAGATCTAGTTTAATTTAGCATTTCTGCCAGCACTGCCTCACAAATGATACACCAACCTCCAAAATGTAGATGAGACAATAAAATTTGGTGTCCAGAAACAGCAAAAAAAAATGTTTGATTTGTTTATTTTTTTTGATTGCTTCACTCGAGAATTAATTTTACCTCCGACTTCTGAGCCACTGCTTCTCATTCTCTTCTTCTCAAACTTAGCATGAGATGCCCACATCCTGAGGTTCCCAAAATAACTGGGTGCCAGTCATGCCAGCTGCATTTCTGTGGCAGATTTCTGGAGAGCACCCCAGGAGCTCAGGGATTCTCTTTCCCAGTCCCTCGCTTCAGCAGCACCTCAGACTCCATTTGTCACTCTGACTCAGAGCTACAAACAGTTTGAGGTGTCTAATAAATGCAAATAGTCGCCTAGAGGTCTTCCCTAACCCTCCTTCTTTCACTGGGCTCCAAATTACTGTTTTCAATGAAAATTGCGCACACTTGAGAAGAAAACACTCAAGCTCCCTCTGCTTTTTACAACCTAAGCCTCTCCTTATCTACCCCGTCGCCAGTCCATCTAGCTGAGACACCCGTTCTAGAACAGGATTGCTCGCTTCTTTCTGCCAGCACCCATTTCTCTGCATCTCAGTTTCACAAGGATCTTGACGACTACCTTCAGCTTCATTTATTAAACTTTGAGTATTTGGAAAAGGGCGAGACAAATGCATCCCACACACCAGAGAGCTGACACAAGGGCTTTCCCAAAAATACTATTTTATCAACCTGGATGAACCATTTCTACACTACTTATGACTCCCAGTATTTTTCAGAAGACTGAGATATTCCTAAGCAGGGGCTAGCTCTAAAAGACTTTTTTTGAAAACATCTTTTCTTGGTTTGCTGAATCACAGTATTGGAAAAAAAAAGACAAATTAAAATACCTTAAAATAACCCAAATCAGAATATGAAGCCACGCTTTCCCTGTGCTTCATGTATTTTCAATGAGTTAGCATCGCACAAAACTGTTGCCAGAGTAGCAAATCTCAATTTTTTTCCCCCAAATCCGACCTGAAAATTAACCCTGGAGGATACGACAACTGTCTTAAGAGGGAATAACTTCTCCCTTCTGAACTCAGTAAGCAGCTTTAAAGCCTCCCTTGTTCTAGTTGTACCAGAAGTGACCTGTGGGATGTTCCTGAGAGGTTTTTCAGCATCCACTTGGATAAAAATCACAGGAAAGACACAATTTCCCATTTCACTGCCCTGAAGTTAAGTCTTGGGCTTCTGTGAGAGCAATTTGAAAGTAAATACCGAAACACTGCAGTGAGTGAAAATTACAAAACTGCTTGAGTAAGGGAGCCTGAAGCACTTTGGGATCTGAGAGCAGGCTGCCCGTGGGTGAAACTTCACGGCACAAATCCTTCCTGCTTAGGAGCTGAAATCCGCTTTTTCTGGAGGAGCATAAACAGGATCATGTAGTGACGTAAGGGAAAAACTGCTGATGGCTGGTGGACTCACCAACAGCACAAACAAAAATTGGAAGTGGGGAATCGTCCCTTCTCGCATCCCTCCGGTGTTGAGGAGCGTTGGGGCTACTCAACAGGACTTCCCTCTAAGCAGAGCCTGTGTGAGTCGTGGCTGTTAATTACAGTCCCTCATGTCATGACAAAATAAACATATCAATCAAAACGCGGGCACCAAGGGGCAGCAGGCAGGGTAGGAGTCAACGCTTTTGAATTGTGCGTTGATGCAATGCTGGTTGCCCAACGACAAGTCACTTAATAACTCTAGGGTTAGGTGCATTTTTAATGTGTAAATACGCAACTGCCTTCAAAATTCCCTTATAAAGCAGATTGGGAAATTCGTTACCCATTAACGCGCCGAGGAAAAAGTCCTAATTGTTCCTCCTGACTGTGTCAGATCGGAAATGCTAAAAACTAGACACAGAAGATAAATATGAACGTGACTACTTAATTATCAGCATTGCCAAGAGATGCATAATTCCTCGGACAACCCTTTGGAAGATATAAAAGTTCGCCAGCCACTGTTCCTCCTTCATTCAGCGTCAGCTCTCGGTGTTGCTCTTCGTGCTTGCTCCAGCAAAGGGTAAGTCGGATTACACTGATCTATCTACTATTGAGAATCAGGAGCTCATACAGGAATTCTAGCTGACTAGTTCTGCGTTTAGACCTTCCACAATCTTAAATATTTCTTATTTTTGGTGACTGGGTGCCTGAACATGTAAGCTACACAAAGAGTAGATCTGCAAAAAGACAGAGTCTTTGGGATCTAGAAAGGAATTAATTCTCAAGTAAGGAGGTGAAGGAGGGAGAGATCTCTCAGACAAGTCAGTGCATTTTTTAGATGGAAATTTTACCTTAAAAAGCCAAGAATAGCATCTTTGTAGTGAAATTCCTATCAGAGCTGGACCGCCATGGAGTATTCCTCAGAGGGCAAGGCAGTATCACCTTCAGGGTCAAGATGTCCCATATATGACAAGACAGAGAAAAACAAGATTTCCCAGGCTGTTACAGAAAAGAGCCAAGGAAGATACTGAAGGTTGCAGTGGAGCAGCCAGGCCAGACTGATGGTTTCTCTCTCTCTCTCTCCCCAACAGCTTCACTAACACTCCAGAAAAATGTGCTCCCGCGGGACCTGCCACGACTACGAGTCCTCCTGCCACAGATCCCACTCTTCCTGC